TTAAAAAAGAAATTTACCAAAATATTTGCTTTATTTAGCCCCGCGCTAAATATCAATTAAAATTTTCCCAAATCATCATATTTCCGTGTAAATGTACATGCTGAACACGAAATAACCATTAAATTTTGATAAAACCAACCGTTTTGGAGTTAGCGACAATAAAGTTCCGTACTCAATCGCGTTCAGCCGTCGGCCATTACTGGCTTTGTTTAACTGCATTCATTGCGGAACATTTTGCGTGCGGAAGTTTAATTAACAGCCTTTTTACTGCTCTTAAGACTTAACTGATCATACTCGTCTAAATTACTGCGAACTTAAGCTGTGTCGGAAAGCGATGACATTTTTTTTTTTAATAAACCACTTTTTCTGTGTAGAAAAGCAATGACAACTGTTGTAAAGCTTTTCTTTTAAACTAAAAATAAAACAAATAATAATTAATGCGCAATGTTTGCAGGAACTTTAAAAAAGAGCATGATTATTTACAAAATAAAAAGAAATGCTCCTTCCTACCATTTTTTTTTATTTTGTAAATAAAAAAAATCCTGCTCCTTACAAAGTTTGCGCATTATTATTTCGTTTCTAGCATTTTTTTTTATTTTATTTTTGTAGATAATCATGATCTTTACAAAGTTCGCGAGCATGATTATCTACAAAATAAAAAAAATGCTAGAAACGAAATAATAATGCGCAAACTTTGTAAAGAGCAGGAGTTTTTATTTATAAAATAAAAAAAAATGCTAGGAAGGAGCATTTCTTTTTATTTTGTAAATAATCATAACTTAAGTGCTCAGTAATATAGACGAATAAGATCAGTTAAGAGCAGTATAAAAAGGTTGTTAAGCTTCCGCACGTAAAATGTTCCGCAGTGAATGTAGTTAAACAAGGCTAGTAATGGCCGACGGCTGAACGCGACTGAGTCCAAACTTTTATTATTGATAGCATGTACATTTACACGGAAATATGGCGATTTGGGAAAGTTTTTTAGCGCGGGTCCTAGATACTTTACAGGATTTTATTGTCTCTAGAAAATTATAGGAAATTTGTAAGACTGATAAAAATCTCGCAAACGAAATGTATAACATAGGGACTAGGATTGAGGTATCACCGTAACCTGACGTGACGATCCAACAGTACCCCTGACCGAAATTTAGTCCATGTAAAGGACAAATAATACGATACGGGATTGGCCTATTTTAATTTACAATAGATAATGTATTTGGGGGGAAAGAGGGTAAAAGGAATTAGCCTTGACATGCCTATTAAAAATCAACCGCAAATTCAAACATTTCTTCATCGACACAACTTATGCCAAAGACAATTCATCAAACGAGAATATTTCTTTTTCTGCTAAGATTCACCGGAAAAGAAAAAAAATGTTATACTCCTTTCTTCATTCACTTGTAATAATATATTTGTTTTTAACTGTTGTTGTTTTTTCCTACTTTAACCAAAAACTGGTGAATTCATGTTTCATTTTTTCTTTTTAAAGGAAAATAAAACTTAAAAACAAAAAATAGTTAGGAACTTATCTAGTCACAATTTATTGTGTACAGCTTCAATAAACAACAAATTTAAAAAGTAAACCATCTTCTTGTGTAACAACTAAAAATTCATATACCATTTCCACTTTATTTCAATTTTTAAAGTACTTGTCTAAAAGAGCGGTCCCACGTGGAATAGACATAATGACGTCACTAACAATGGCGTTTTTGTCAGAAGGAAGTTGGTATATTTTTTACGATATTTTACCAAAACGGCAATTCTTAATTGCTTTCAAAAGGAATTAAATTATTTCATTATAAAAGTGAACTGAAATAAATACTTATTTTTAAATTATGGATAGAAATAAATTTCAATGTAAAATTAGCACATGTACAATAATTTACAAACTTTTTTACTTGGGTATTTTTACGCCGTGCGGTTTGCTTTACTTCTGCGACCAATATTGATTAAAAAATAAATGAACTTATTGTGTAAACAAAAAGTTTTTATCTGTGACAAAAGCTCCATTGTTAATAACGCCATCACATTCTACAATAAACCATTCTTTCAGACAAGTACTAAATTACTCCTAGTAGCGTGTACAAAAAAAGTGTAAAAAAATATGTTCGTTCAAGTTAGGAAGTGCGGAGACTTTAGTTTACAGAGGTCACCGCACTTTAGTGTCGGCTGCTTTGTTTTCTCATCTTTACACGATCATGAAAATAACTAAAACTCATGAAATCTTCAGCTTTGGTCGAATCAGTAACTCACCTTTATTAATTCGGTTGAATGTAAGAGCTAAAATACATATGTTGGGAGTGCATTGTGTTTAGTGCAACAGCAACATCATGTGTCGATATAGCAATATAGTCGTTCGTAACTCGTAATAACGCTACTTTTGAGTTTTTTTTGCACACTTACTCAAAAATAAAATTAACTCAGACACACACACAAAAAAAGTAATTATTGCCGAAAATTAACTTTCACTTCAAGGCCCGCAATTATTTTTTTAAAAAGCGCACTTAGCTGTTATGTAGCAATATTTTTTTTTTTTTGTTTAAATGAAATTTCCAAATAAGTTACAATATAACATTTTTATTTAACAATAAAAAAAATGTAGTTAAAACTAAACATGGCTCCTAATATCAATTATTTTAAATAAATATTTAAATAATTTTTGTTTAAACCTAAGAAAAAGTACTATTCCACACGCTGTTAAAAAATAGAAATTAATTAATACCCAGTATAAAAAATGTTTTCATAAATCATTTAAAATTTTAAAAATAAAATCTTTCCCAACTTTAACAGGAATATTTTTAAATTTTGAATTATATATTTTTAAGCCGTTAAAATTTTTTTTTAAATTAATAACCAATTTAAATACCTAAAATTGTAAAACAACTTTAAAAAATTCTTGATCAACCTTCAACAATTAAAGGAAAGCTCATAAAAACTTTTATTAACTGGTAATTAAATTAGAAATTTAATTAATCTCGTTGTCAGCTTATATCGTTAAATAAATAATTATTTCAGTTTTTATGATAGAAACTTAGCAAAAATAATTAAATAGATAAATAATTATTATATCTTAATTAAATTATTAAACAACCAATGCTGGTTACTTTGCGAATTAAAAAAAAATAATAAAAATTCAATGTGAAAATAAATACAGGATTTTATCGCGTTCGATTAATTTTACTTACATGATAATTACGTACTTTTCCAATTTTTACTCTAAAACATTTTATTACTTTTACGTCAATTAGGCTATTCACGAACTATTTACTAAGCGTAGCTTAGATGTGGCTCAAGGCCGCAAGTATGGAGAGCCCAGTGAAAATCGAACTCACTGGTCAATCGTAATTGATCTTTAACTTGAAAAATTACATGACAAATTACATAAACCACGTTGAAGTGCCCAGCTCTTCAGAAAAAGTAAAGAACTTTCAAAGATTGTTAGGTTTTTTGTTTTAATTCATTATTCGCCCCCTCTCCCCGTTCATTGCAGAAAGAGAAAATTCTTTTTCTAAACAATTTTAAATAATTTTTAATCAAATAATTGTTAAATAAATCCTTTTTACGTAACACTAAGTGTTGAAAACTAAAAGGAAAATATCTGATGATAACTACCATAAAAATAAAATACTTTTTCATTCTACTATCGTTGTTTTCTTTGTGTTCCAAAATATTTTTTAAACATTATTTTTAAAATTATAAAGTCAGCTTTTAGGTAAAAAAAGAAAAAAAAAAAAAAAAGAAAAAGGCACTTTGCCGATAAACATGTCTTTTTTTTTATACATACAACAATAGTAGGTGCTGAAAATTTTTCAATTCACAAGTCTTTTATTTGGTCAAATTTTGGGGAAATGGGTCGGATCGATAAACCTCAGCATCCTCTCGTATCACTAATTAGATGTCTGTCTGGTTTAAATTAGTTAAAAAAAAAAAAAGCTAAAAAATCAAGTACTCAAGTAGTTAACGCGAGAAACAGTTTTAATTGCCCCCCGCTCCCACTTCATCCATCGTTGGATATTTGCAATCACTCCATCCGAATCACTTCAGTTATCGGTTTATGAAATAATTTTTTTTTAAAAAAGGAAAAAATTGCTGAACCAAAACCTGCTGTTTGTGTTGTAGGAAACATTGCATTTTAAAAATCCAACCCCACCAAAATGATGGATTTTATTTTACACTCTTGACTAAAAAGTTAAAAATAAATTCCCTACATACAGAAAAAAAACTGCAATCAAAACACTTCAAATAAATTGTTTCTACTTATATATTTTTTTATATATCATGTTGTGTAAAAACGCTTGAAAATCTCTCTGACAATCGTTTTTCCTTTCAGCTAAGCCGTGAAATGGTTTTTAGTACACGTCAGAAAAATAAGTTGAGAACTAAAGACTGAATAAGCATTAAATGAGATCTGATTAAATAATAAGTCCAAGAATAAAAAAAAGTAATAATGAACAAAATGTTCATAGATTTCAATTACATAGAAAATAAATAATAAAACAAGTGATTTAATGAATATAACGCGGTTCGGGGGTTCAGTAATTATTTAGAACCAGTGGCCGAAGAAAAAGACCTTATTGAACAACAACATGATTATTACACAGACAGGTATTACTCACTAGTACACGCTCACACAATAATAGCAAGTTTTTAGTTAAAGATTTCTTAATATCGGAGTGAGAGATAATAACTGTTGCTATCACCATCAATCACTGTTAGTAGCAGATGGTTTATCTTAGTTCTATTAGGTGCGGGAACAGAATTTAAGTTGAAGAAGTTTATTTTAAAACTTGCTAGGCTAGCGAGTAAGTAAGACCTTTAAATTAAATATCAACCACCATAAATTTGATATCACGTATTGTACTTGGTATGATCGTGTATTTTCTTAGTTCAGATTCAAACACTAAGATTGCGTGAATAAGGATGAGATTTTTCAATGTACAAATTTCATTAACAAATAAAAATTTCAATGGGATCCGATCACCACAAACAAATGTACTTACCTTTTTAGAACCATTACGTCCTGACAGTCAGATTTCTCATGGTAAAGAACCTCCTCGATTTGTAGAGACATACATTGACCTGGCCATAACTCACTCAGTTCACTAAACCAACCACTTTTTAAAGCATCCATAGATGTTTTTTTGTAGATTAAATATGATAAATAAAATCTTAAACCTCTGAAACTTCTTAATACCTATTTTTACTGGCACGAATACAGCGACCGGTAAAAAGCCTGGTTAGACTATAAAGAACTGACAAATTCAAACAGAACCTACTCGGTCACGTGATTACTAATTCAAGAGTAGTTAGTTAACCGGCTACTTTAAAAGTTTTTTTGGTCATTATTTATTGACGACTTCTAATTGTTGCATAGTTATTAAAATAACAGGAAAAGGAAGAAAGAAGAAGGAAACAAACGGAAGAATAAATATCTGATATTTGAAAATTGAAATCAAAGTTATGAAAAAGAGCGAGCCACATGCACATATAGTAAACAAAACAGAAACGCTACCTAAACAACTTTTAAATTAGGTTTTAACCTTGTAAAATGAGTTAAAATTTAAAGATTAATAAAAAAATTATGTCTCATATGACAAACTAACGCGTTTTTTTTTTCACTACACCAGAGAATACATGTCGTTACAATACATGCTTGCGAAAAAATAGAGACAAAGCAAGAAACACATTCTTTTTCTGTTGTAGTTTATTGCCAATCAATGCTTGTTTACATTTTTCAGAAGTTATGAATAATGTCATTATGATTATATTGGAAAATAAAAGTGAAGTGAGGGTTACACATTTTTTTCTTTTCTAAAGTGTAGCTTTTTTTCATACAATCGATTGAAAAAAAATGGAGAAATAATTTTTATGCTAATTAATAGAAACAGGAAAGTTGATTTAAAAACGTGTAAATGTTTCAAAATAGCCATCGAAATCGTCTAGCAAACAATTTTAGAAGACACCTACAGGGTGGCCCGAAAAATTTGTTACCTTAACCTTTCCTTCCAAACTGTAGTGTAGGAGCTCGTGTCAGTCATTTGAAATAGAAAATTACATTATGTATGGGTGACAAGACTTTCGGACCACCCTATACTTTGAAAATGTCAAAGAAAAGATGAAGTTTCGTGAAACCATTTTTTTTTTTTTTTTAAGATTAGGTCATTTTTTCTTAATCAGAAGTGATCATCAATATTATCTGAATTTGTGCTTAATGGATTTTTTTAAAATCTTTAGCAGGTTCGCCTTTTTAAACAAGTACAAAATTACTGTTAAGCTTAGCTTAGATGTGGCACAAGGCCACAAAGTATGTCGCACACAGTGATGATCGAATTCCATTCTCAGTTGTAACTGATCCGCAAGCAAGCTTACTAACCATTTAGTGTACTGTACACCACGTCAAATCGATCAAGTAGCCAAAAAGGTATCACTAAACAAATTATGAATTTAAAGATATTTTTGAATGATTGTGTTGTGGTGACTTCGACGGAGAATCTAGCCGGAAGTTTACACTTCCACGACGACAAGAGAAGTGTGTAAATGTGCCATCTGCACATATACTCCACACATTAGTTCCGGTGGTATTACAAAAATATAATATTAGGACCAATCGCCTTCGTTTCCACGCGTTCGAAAAAGAACCACAAGTGAAATTCCTCGAGTTCGATTGCTCTGTTTCAACTAGCTAGTCCATTCACGATAACTCAAACAAAGACAATTATTCTTTATGATATAAAGTTACTTTATATACACAGTCATTTCTTCACAAAGGCTGAACATTTACACACTAAATTTTGTCACTCAAAAACTAACCTAACTTATACTACCATACATAGGCTTTCAATTTCATTAAACACTCACAGAAAACATTTGTAAACTTTGTATATAAAATTTATTGACTAAAAAAATCAATCTCTTTTTTTATATTATGTCCATTTTATCATGAGTGTAAGAGTGGTAAATGAAGTATATCTTTATCTTCTGCTGCATTCTTGTCCCACTCATTTTTAGGTCTACTACTACATTAGTAAGGAGATATCATTTCACTCCGAAGAAGTTGATAAATCCACTAAGACACAGGGATTACTGAGAGTGAAGGAAACGGAAAGAACAGGATTCAAGGAGAGAGAAGATGACAATTGACATTGCATTTAAATTTTGAAGATTGTACTTGACAGGAAAGCAAGAAACTGGAAGAGAGTTCCACAAAATCTTGTTAATTTCTTTCTCTGTTTGATCCCAGTGATCTATTCTTTACCAGTCAAAGAATATTGTTAGCTATACATTCATTGTGTAGAACCCAAATTCTACATTATTCCAATACCCAAAAATAGTTTGCTCAAATCTGTGCAAAAAGTGGATCACAGAACACATTCAACTTCATACACTTTCAAAAAATCTTGAGCCCTTATTGGTTAATAAATATACAAATAGGCATGACTATCCACCCACGCTTAACTAATTTTCATGATTGAAATCCAAGTTCATGCCAAGTCTCTGTGAGCCACCTGAAGCAAATAAAAACAGAAACTCATTCACACTCGCCAGTGAGCATTGTGACATTAAACAAATTGCAACTAAACTTCACGTCATGCAATCTTAAGTTTTTTGTTCATAGGAACATTATACAAACTTAATGATATTCACACTCACTCACCAGTTAACACTATTCTCATTCACTCACCAAATTTATTATGCAGAAGTTAAACAAATTCCTGCTAACAAATCAACTTTATTTCACAACATTCGAGAACATTGTATTACACAAAACAAAGGTAGATAACTTCTTTGACCATAAAATTGCATTCAACTTTACAAACATTTACTACTTATATGAACAGTAAATTTTTAAATGTAATTTTTTCTCTTGCAATTAATTTACAGAATCTTCAATAACAGATTCTAACAAACATCATTTTGAATCAGAACTCATTAACAAATTTTAATCTTTCACCAAACTTGAGTTGAACATAAATTAAACTAACAAGATTTCATCTAAGAAATCCACTACATTTTTGTAAAATATTTTCATTACAAAAATATATTGAAAATTACTTACTCAAATATTTGCCTTTTGTCTTTTATCACAAATGTTTTTTGTTGTTTTCTCTTGTTGTTTATGCATTTTGCTTAACATATTCGTAGAGTAAAAAATTATATGGATTGATTTGGGCTGTCAACACCATTAAATAAATGGTAACCACCAAACTTTCCACTACAATTGTCATTGTTAAAGTTTTCATAACAAAAATTTTCATATATATAATCAATTTTACAAGCAAAAATTTTAAAGTTTTTCATATAACTAGGCAATATGTTGAAATGTGGTAGTAAATTTACATAAGTTTCAAAATGTGATGTTGCATTGTGTTTAATGCATGCAACTTAACATCAATTCTTACTTGTAACATAATTAGTGGAAACATAGTGTTGTGAATAATTACTCATAGTCACAATTAATAAATTTATAATAATTGTGATGAAATATACAATTCACTTACATTTTTACAAGAAAGATTTTGTATGTAAAAGTATATGTATATTGATTGTTTTGTGAATATTTTTTCAAGGTAAACAATCTTATTAGTCACAGTTTACAGAAGAAAAGGATGTATAAGTGACTTAAAGAAAATGGCATACAGTTTCAGTCATCTTTTGATCTTTAACTACTTTGCTGAGTTCTTTAGATAAATGTAGCCACTTGATGTAGAAAAGCTGGCTGACTACAACCTCTTACAAAATCTCATATTTGTATAATTTTATGGAAGACAAGCTCAAATTTTCTCAGACCAATAATAATTGTTTGAAAATTCTCTTTTTATGCACTGGAATCTGTTTTCCTTAAGTCTCCAAATTTCTAATTTTATTTTAGATTTTAATTTTGGAGACTATTTTCTGGAATCTGTCATTTTTGCTGATCCTACTTTTTGTATAGCTTTTTAACATGGTTCTAACATCATTATACACTAATTGTATAAAGCATTACATTTTGAATATTAGCATGATATTGATTTTAATGAATATTAAGTTTGGCTTTTGGCAAATATATACAACAAAAGTGGTTTATTTTACTGTAGAATTACCAGAGCAAAAATAAAATGCCTAAAGAAATATAATTGTATTTGTTTAAGAACTTCATATACATTTATTATATCTGAATCTTCTTGAAAAAATTGTTTGTTAAGTCTAATTGTTCCTTTCATGCTTTTGATTTTATATAAACAAAACTATTTTCCTTTAAAACAATCAGATATCAAGAAAAATCATATTTATGGCCTGATAGTCCATTGTATAACTGAGTGCATATTTTAAAAAATGTGTCAAAACATTATTATTTATTAGAAATGTTTTGACAAATATAGAACAATTTTTATTTTGTACATTTGTCTACATAAGACAAAGAAAAATGGCAAATAACTTTTGTGTTATAGACTTAAATCATAGAATCTAAAATATCTTCTATTCTTTCAAAGTTTATTTTTGCTAGAGGATGAAAATAGCAAATTGTTAATATCCTGTAAATTTATAACAGAAAATATACTTTCATTTAGGAACTAAAAAGATTCAGCATGAATTTGCAGAAAATAATTAAAATGGTAATTACACAGGCTACCCTGATTAAAATAAGATCATTTTAAAAAAGAAACACAAGTTAGTAGAGGACAAAACATTTAATACGAGGTTGGATTTATTTTTCTTATTTGTATATTCATAATGCTATATGCCAACAAATATTTTAAATTAATTTTGCAATTGGGAAGCTGTCAAAGTTTTTTAGAGAAATTTTGCTAAAATTTTTTAATTTTATGAAGTTTTTCATAGTGCCGTTTTTCTTTAACACTTGTAGTATTTTTAGAATTTCAAATGTTATTATAGTGGATACTTTGTATTTAAAATAGAAGCACAATTTTATTTATCAGTGTGTATTACAACTACAGGCCAGTGTATTTGAGGAATCTTCAGTAAAGACAAATGCATTTTTTGGCAGAGATTGAACCTGTGTCTTCCTTTTCCTTTACTGTCTTGAATGTGTAGGATGATAGATGTAATACACACTGTTTAATAAATAAAAATGGGGCATCTATTTCAAATACAAAGTATCTACAAAGTATCCACTATAATAATGTTTGAAGTAATAAAAATTTCAAATTAAAAATAAATCCATTAATTCTTTAAAAATACATTTGTAGTATGTGAAGAGTATCTCTGGTAAAAACTGTCTTCAAATATTAAAAATGTGAAATGTATTTCAGAAAATGTTTTTCTTGTTATTAAAACTGACAATAATAAGAGAGAAACAGAAAACAGAAAAATCCTTTCTGTGAGATAATATCAGTAAAATTTAAATCATCATGGTTTGTAGTAAACATTGATTCACAAAAGAGAGTGGTACAAGAATGAGCTCTTGGCATTTTAATTAAAAGGTCTGTTATAATGAGTTTGGTTGCAAAGGAACAATACAAACAAGGATTAAGATTTCAACTTGTATTAGTAACATTCAGAATATGTACATAATTGTGTGAAAGGTGGCAAAAATTGTTCATATGTAGTTACTTAGTTGCCATTGGTAAGGAAAGCAATTAGGTGTAAGGGTGTTGTTCATATGGCTGGAAGCTGACCAAATTTTTTGGGTTGGTTGGCCAAGGTCAAGAGTTGGGGTCAGGAGATAGATCTGGAGTGGATTAGAGAAGCCAAGTGTAGTGTTATTGGTGAGGTTTGATGCATGACCTTCGTCATGGCTGAAATTGACACTGGTGAGGTGTTTGATGGTCTGGCGTTTGTGTGATGACACCGAAGTGTTGAAGCTGAATTGTGTGTTGACAGCAGGGATATTTCGTGATAAGGTGCATTCAGTGAGATGAAGGAGGCCTAGAGTAGTTAGTGAAGCTATGAATACTAAGGATGCAAGCATGAAGAGTCAGCAGAAATCATGAATCTGACTTTGCTGATATAGAGGATGTGCTAGTGTGTTGGTAGCAGAATGTCTCTGTTGGGTTCTGGTCAAATGTAGTATCTGTAACACTGGGGCCTTGAAGTAGTTAGATGCCGATTAAAGACAGAGCGGTTTAAGCCTAAAATGGAATACAAGCTGGAAGATAGACAAGGGAAGAGAGGGTGGTAGACATTTTCCTTGGTGGAGATGGGGCCATCTGGATTTCTTCTCTCCTAAAGTTTTTTTTTTTCATCTATCAAGAGTCTGATATGCAGGTGAAAACAGATTTGGAAATAATTTTGTTATTCACTCAGAAATATAAATAAAGAACAAACCCTTTTTGAGGGTCAAAGTTAGGAAAATAGGTCTTGTCATTAACAAGCAGGTGAGCTGGTTTATATTTTCACTAGACAGCAGATAAGTCCAGGAACTGAAAAATAATTTTGTCTCTTTCTTGAGAATTTAAGAAAACAAATATCATTAACAAGGAGAAGAATAGGTCTGGGTTGTATTTTCGTGGACAAAAATGAATTGGGAAATTTACATGGGAACAAACTTTTCTTTCTTGAGGGTCAAATGTACAATAGGGCAGAAATTATGAAAACAAGTCCTGTCAACAGTGATCTGGTTTATATTTTTACTGAAAAGAGATAAGTCAGTGATCGACCTGATGAATATTTGTGTAGAAAAAGAAAATCTTTGCAACAGATGCTGATTATCAATAATTTTTACAGTTGTTCATGAACTATTCTTCCTGTTCACCTGACTCACCTGTTATATTATTTTCTGCCTATTAACTCATTAGGATCAGTTACCAGTATCCTGCTGTTAAAAGTTTTTGTTTTCTTGCTCACTTATGTATATTTTTCTCCATCTTTGTTTCCTTTATAACATTCTTTTCACGTTTTTGGTTAAACTAGAAAGAAAAAATAAGATGTCAGTACTGCTAAGACAGTTTGTTGATATGGTGACTCAACCTATGTGGTAGTAAGACTGAGGCAGGGGTAAAAGTGGAAGTGATGGTAATCTATAACAATATCAAAGTGCTGTTCTTTGTTTTTAAAAATTGATATCAGTTATCGGAAAAAATCGATAAAATCTATCACTTTGGGACATCCGATTCAAATCCAATGTAGCTGAGTTTTTGCTCTGTTTTTCGCAAACTGCAAGGCATTTTTCTTGAAAATCATGTTGAGCATTAGTTTTATCAACAGTTATTAGTTGCTGGCCTTTTTCTTCTATATCGGTATCAATTATCGGGAAAAATCGATAACATCATGCCACTTTTGACTTCCAATTCAAATCCAGTCAAGCTGATTTTTGGCTATATTTTTCGCAAATTGCGAAGAATTTCCACCAAAATTACGTTGAGCATTGTTTTTATCAACAGTTATGAGGTGCCGACATTCATTTTCAATATCGATATCAATTACTGGAAAAAATCAATACAATCGATCACTTTGGGACATCTAATTCAAGTCCAGTCTAGCTGATTTTTGGTTATATTTTGCGCAAATGGCGAAGAATTTTCAGCAAAATTCCCGTTGAGCATAGTATTTATCGACAGTATTGAAGTGCTGACATTCGTTTTCAATATCGGTTTCAATTATCGAATAAAAATCGATGAAATCATACTCCTTTTGACTTCCCATTCAAATCGAGTTTACCTGAATTTGTCAATGTTTTTCACAACTTGCTTGGGATTTTGATTAACTTTATCGGCTTTAGTCGTGACAATTAAAACCTTTTGCCCTGTGAACTCCTTTGTGACCAACTAATACCCGAGGGAAGTCGATACAATCATGTCTTCATCGGAATTTGCGAATACACCAATCAAACGTATGTTCAACTGAGATGTCTGCACTACAGACTCTACAGCTGATTGTTATTCACACACGCGTGACCATACTTCACATAGCGGTATCTCATTGGCTGAGTGCAGTACACGGTCGCGATTGGTGTTCAAGACCCTAGAACGCTCGCTGATTGGCACAACCGATTGGCCAGTAATACTTCGCATTTGAACCTGCTGTGCACAGCTGTGGGATGAAGGTCTCACTTCTGCTCCTGTTACGCTGCCATCCGGTTGATACGATAGGCTCTTTCAACTTGTCATTTCTCCTATCGCAAGTTGTTCCTTACGTTTTTGTTTTCCGTTTGTCTGTTTAACTACATTTTTCCAACTACCATAAACAATACCTGCCTCCCCGATTCTGGCTCACGCTTGCGATACTAAGTTAGACTTTGTACTCCTGCAATTGAGCAACCCTAATCAACTACTACTAGCATCACTTTTCCGCGTGTACATCTTAGCCTTCGGTCTGCAGGAGCATCCGCTATGAGGGCAAGAAGGGCCCACGAGTCCCAGGAGCAGACTACAATGCAACTATCACAGGTCGCTCAACGCAGCGCCCTCACGCAGGCCTCGCAGTCACAAGAGGAGCGTGCCAACTGCTTGGCTGGGAAAGCTACCTACAGGATTTCGCTGCGATCAAGGCTCAAGAATGCACAACGGTCAAGAATAAACGCACAGGCTGCAGCAACCGCCTCTGCACCTGGGGCTTCCGAGACTCATCATCAAAGGTTTCTTCGTAACCTAAGAAACGCTGCTGCCACTGCGAAATCAGGTGCGATAGAGACACTTGACCGGAGGCGCGCACGTCATTCCAGGGACGCTGCTGCAACAGCGACTGCTAGGACTGCTGAGACACTGCTCCGCAGGTCTGTTCGAAATGCTAGGAATGCTGCCACCACTGCCAGGTCGAGGGCAACTGAAACATTCGACCGCAGACGCGCACATCAATCTAGGGACGTTACTGCAACAGCAATTGCTAGGGCTGCCGAGACACTGCTCCGTAGGTCTGTTCGAAATGCTAGGAATGCGGCTACCACTGCCAGGCCGAGGGCAGCTGAAACATTTGACCGCAGACGCGCCCGTCAATCCAGGGTCTGTGCTGCTCTTTCGGCAAAGTTCGACTGCCACCTCTGCATGAACCACCTACCCCGTTGAGGGGAATAATAGCCGGCTCCCATCCCGACTCCAACCACTTCCTTAAAACAATTAGGCAATACAAAAACTCCTTTCAAATGACCTCATCTGGGGCTCAGGTGGTTCGATAAGAGGGTTGAATGCCCACTTTCAAAGTACAGGGGCAGGTATACCATCGCATTGGGTCTCTGCTGCATGAGGAGACTTCTACGCCTAAATTCCTTCAACTGTACTTTACTGCAGACTACAACCTACAGGCCGAAACTCGGATTGGTATTTTGCCACCGTCGGGAAGAGTTCCTCGCAGGGACGTCATACTACTACTTCAGTCCATGCTTCACAAGGTTAACAGCTACATTCGCAGTTTCAAATATGCTTTGGAAAATGCTCGCTTTCCTTCCTTCAGCATTGTAATTGACGCCAACACATGGCCTCATGATGAACACGAACGCCGCTACAATGCTCCTGCGTGCAACGAAGTGGCCGCTATTATACATAGGGAGCAAGACCGCACTCGCGATATTGTCTTCAAATCAAGAGGCGGCGATCTTCGCAGGATTTCAGAGACCCATCGATCATATGGCGCATTGCAGTACCCTTTACTTTTCACTTATGGTGACGATCGCTACCACTTCGGCATTCCCCTTCATACTCCGGGTGGCCAACCTACAACGTCTTCCAAAGCCTTATCGTGTAAGGCCTTCTACTCATACCGTTTCATGGTTAGGGATGGACACTTCAACATGCTTCATACATGCAGGGAGCTTTTCCACCAGTTTGCGGCTGACATCACCGCTAAGATGAAATTGGAGAGGCTTTGTTTTATACGGAATCATTGGAAACAGCTGCACTCAGACTCCTACATACACTTACGCGACAGCCTTCGAAATGAAGTCAATCCCCGCGACCTAGGGAAGCTGTGCATTCTGCCCTCAACCTACACTGGGGGGCCGCGCTACATGCATGAACGCACGCAGCATGCTATGACATACGTTAGGCCATATGAACGGCCAGACTTATTTATAACGTTTACCTGCAACCCCAAATGGGTTGATATAATGCGTGAACTCCTACCCGGACAGTATTACACTCACAGACATGACATTACCGCCCGCGTATTCCACTTAAAACTGGGAAAACTTATGGACTTAATAGTGAAGGGGAGAGTCCTACAGTGAAAACGCAACCACTATTTTACATTGCCAGAATTAAAAATCTTGAACGATTATGAACAGGTGGCAGTTTTCGGGTAAGCACGGAACAGCAACACAGCAGCCACCTATTGCAACCGGCTACCCTTGATCTCATTGATTTTGCTACTAGTGAGATTTCCGGCCTATTAGTGACCTCAACAACTGCGGAGACGTGCGTAATTCAAACTCCAAAGCAATTTAACTACATAGAACCCTGAGCAACTCCGGGCTTTACTGCTAGTATATATATATATATATATATATATATATATATACACCTAATTAATTTGATTGTATAAAATTTATCAAATTATTAAATAATTTCCATGGCGAATGGTCTGTTTTAAGAAAAAGATTTTATAAACTTCAACTGAAAGCTAATGTTGTTTGGTCATTGAATGCCAAATGCTTCCTGTATGAAAACATCTAATTTCATCATTAACATTTCTTGCTTTAAAATCTTATTGAGTGATTCAGATGTGATAGCTGTGGCAATAGAGCAGTATCTCAATGACCAAACAGAAGTATATTTTCTTAAATGGTTAAAGAAACTGGTGAAACAATGTGCTAAATGTGTTGAACAACAGAATAAACATGTGAATCAGTAAGTAAAGTTCATGACTCTTGGTCATTCTCTCCTTGGTCAAGTGAATAACTGGCTTACAGCTAAATCAAATTGAAGTACAATTTCTTATATGATCACTGAAGTTAAGCAATGTCAAACCTGGTTGGTACCTAGATGAGTGCTTGAGAATACCAGCTGCTATAAGTTTGGATGCACAGGTGGTGTAATGGATAATGGCTTTGAATTGGAAATTGGAGAGCCAAGTTCCAATTTCAGTCAAGTTTGTTGTATTCACTTACATGCAAATACCCTTGGTCAAAGTATGCATCCATTTCTTCTCCTTCCAGCTATCAGTTAATTAGTAGAAAAATCAGAAAAATTATTATTATCTCCAAAAATTCTTACAGCCTAAAAATAATTTCTGGGTTTAAATAACCTGCAAAAGGTTGATAAGCTGTAAAAAAACAAATCAACCAATCAGGCCAATAAAAAAAAAACATATTTCTTCTACAATTTAAATTTAAAATTTTTCAAATATATAGTTGATGGTGTTAGTTGAATTTACAGAACAGAATAAACTTTAAACAATTACTATAATTGTCAACAATGCAATTTATTTATATTATTTATACATACAAGGTTTTGTAGGTTAAGGATATATATATTAATTTGCTTGTGTGTTTCTTCATACATAAATAAAATCTTTATATTTGACATGTGGTTTATATATTGTAAAATTTCTAATAAAAGAAAGTAGTTTTCAGGTTTGTGGAAAGGAGAATTTGTCAAAATGGTACATATAAATATATGACTCATACAAAGATATGAATATATTAATCCACAGGTTAGTTTTTGCTGCTGTTTGATGTTTTGTTGCTGACTGCTTCAAACAAAGTAGGTAAAGGAAATAGTCATGTCATGTAGACGACCCAGCATTCTTGAGTTGACCGACTTGAAGTTGATTCAAGTGGGCATTTCTGATTCAACTGATTGTCTATTGAAAAATCTTTTGTATGACATTTACGAGGCTCATAAATATTTTAATCTACTATAAGTCAACCTAGAATGGTTAAAATGATTGTTTTATATCATGTAGTTTGCTCTTTACTATGTCTGTAGCAATTTGTTTTTTAGTAGCTTACATTTGAGCTTACTAAATTATCTTATCATATTTTCTTTTATCAACTACCAGAGCTATCTAACAACAATGAACACTCATCACCACAGATCTATAGCTAATTAACTTCATTGCATAAAACTAACAAAAAATTCCATGATAAATATTCTAACAAACTCCATTTTTTAGTTTCACCAGTCCAGATATTTACAGCTAAAACCTAGCATGCTACATTCAGAGTTGAATCACCCATTTGTAAGAAGGAAATTTCACTGTTTGTAGAACAGACTTCTCTGAACACTACAATCATGATGATGATGAAAAGAAAGAAGCTGAAACAAAAAAAAGGAAGTAAGAAAAAGAAATAAAAATAGAAATGAGAAACTTCTACAAACTTTAGAGATATATGATTATCTTTCTATAGTTGTTTGCAAAAGTTTGTCACAAAATTTGCTATTAACCCTGATTTTGTACTTTTGTAAAACTGAACTACTGTCTAAACAAAGCAGAAATTAGTGAAGTATGTTAATCATCAACCTACCAACTCCTTTTGATAGTCAAATGAATCAAAATAAGTTAATATTTTGTTCATAATAATTATAATTATTTTTATGAGCTCAGTAGAATTGTATTTAGAATTTGTTATCTTGCCTAATTGTATTGCACACAAAGGAAAATTTTGTGCAATCTTGTGAATGCTGTTTGTAACCCACACCCTATTCACTCTATCTTTCGCATCTCTGTCTCTCATCTTCTTCAGTCATTAGCTCCACTAGCTTTGTTGAATAACACTGACCTTCTGGGTCATGTGGTTTTTTTCCCTCCTTGTTTGAGGCTGGAGTGCGGTCTTGATGTGGTCGATTCAGATTTCCCAAAATCTTACAATATTGGGATTGATGGTGAAGTCTAGTGTGGGACAGGAGATGTATGTTGTGTGCCACAGACAAGACTGTGCAATTCTTGTCCATGGCAACTTTTGTTTCTTTGTGTCCAAGGATAACATTGGGATTCAGGGCTGGAATAAGAACTCTTTCAATAAAATGCACAGCACTGTTGGTAACTCTGATGAATAAAATGTTGTTTTTATTTACTGAAAAATTAAGCTCTTCATCTGCCAGATGGTGATTTGGGAAATCTTGTAGTAATAGTGGAAGCAAGACTGCTTGTCATGCTGTATGTTTGCAACAGCTACGGAAATGTGGGTATGTTTCTTTGTCAAGTGGTGACTGCCTGATGACTCTCATTGTTGGGCCTGATTCTCCATATATCCCCCAAGGCTGGCTGACCTTCATTTATATAGATGGCCTCACCCCTAAAATTTGACATTGATGTATCTAATTTCTCCACCCCAACTGTCAATCATAGGAAATTTGTTAATAACGACATGCCATTCTCTGTCCTTTTTTTCTGTAAAGATAATAGTGTTTTTGGCAAGCAACATCAAGATAAACAAACTTCAAGTTTGGGAATTAGGCATAACCTAGATGCCTTCTTTGTTTAAAAGAATTTAGGTCATTCTTTTTTGTAGGAATGTCTTAGATAGTATGAATGTAAACAAACTCCAAATTTGGGATTTGGGTACAACACAAATGCCTTCTTTGTTTAAAGGAATTTATGTCACTATCTTCAGTAAGAATATATGTTTTGGACAGATAGTATATATGTAAACAAAACCTCAAATTTCATTTCTCAGGACTAAAAAATTTGGACAACACATTAATCATGTCTTATTGGTGGGAAGTGGATAGGGTGGGGAACCTTGGTTTTGCTCAATTTTACTGAAAATGCTTAGCTAGATAATTCTGGGTTCAATTCTCTTAAATTAATTGTTTAAAACATAATTCTTAATATGTTCCTTTTTTTAATTTTTTTTTCACTCATTTAACCTACATTTCTGAAAATTTTAATAATTATTATCCAATTAGCCCCCAAATCACCATCTAGCGCTTTCATGCAATTAAAGGCTTCAAGAGTCAGTGACTCATTACAGTATTCTATGTTATTATTATTTTCCATGTCAAGTAATAAAAGTAAATTTCTTTCAAATTTCACACTAGAGTAAGAGTCTTGTGTTTTTATGTTTACATCATTCATAATACTTGAGATAAGAGATTTGATGTTCTTTCCTTCCCTCCTCTTTCAAAAAATCCATTTACTAGTGCTTCCCTTAAGGTGTTCCACTTTGAGTTACTGACCTCTTCTAAAATTTTATATTTGTTGTATGTTAGCTGGACTATTTTCCTCATCTTTAGTTGTTTATTTTTCACATTTTTGTCATTTACACTTCAGCCTGGAGGATACACATCTGAAGCATTGTAAAAAAGAAAGAATGTAAAAGGAAGGAAAAAGAACAACTTAACCTCATAAAAAGATTTAAAGTATATAATTTATGACTTACTTCCTTTGGAAAATTCACATTTCAATTTTTAATGATCTTCCATGATGAGAAAAAAGCAGTTAAAATTGACTATAATAAACTATAATAATAATTTTTATTGTTGACAAGACTGAAATAATTATAAAAATGAATGGAAAACAAAAGAATTCATTTATTTACAAAAGACATGTAAATGTCTATATTTCTGAGATGAGGTATTATGTACACTATTTACATTTTTCGGACAACACTGACCAAAAGTCATAAGTGGTGACCCAGAGACATTAGATAAAGAATTGTTCAGTATAAGTAGTACCCTACAACATAACAACTACCCTGGGTACATGGCAGCAGCCCCAATAAACTGGGATAAGCGGGAACAAGAGGAGGACAACAATACTCAGAAAACAGTCTGCCTGCCTTATGTGAAGGGGTTATCAGAGAAAATACAAAGAATCTGCGGTCCTTATAACATCAGAACAACCTTCAGAATCTGGATGACACTTCACAAATATTTCTCCTGAGTAAGACCCCCCCCATAGAGGAAAACATGACTAAAGATAGTGTGTTCACCATCTCATGCAGCTGCGGAAGGAAATATAAAAGGGAGACAGGCTGCCCCCTTAAGGTAAGGCTTCAAGAACACCAGAAAGCTGTAACACAAAGGGAAGTGGAAAAACCAGGCGTGGCTGACCACATATGGAGAGAAAAGGGAGATCACCGCCCTTTGTGGGATCAGGTTGAGATCAAAGACAAAGAACATCATTGGAAAATACGTAAATTTAAGGAATCAGCACATATGCTAGGCTACAAAAATCTCCTGAGCCAACCAAGTATAGAAATGAATACAATATAGGAAGCAGTAATAAGGATTGCCAGAGAAAAGCGACAATAACAACAAAAATTGTAATGTGAGCTCTGGTAAA